GGTACTAACTTTCTTTCCTACCCATCTTTAAGCATATGGTAAAGTGGTGCTGAGGAAGCAGTGAGTAATTACACCAGGACTCCCTCCATGTTGGGTTTTGCAGCCTTCTGCAGTTTTAGCAAACTCCCATTGTATTGCTCAGCTGTCTGGCTTTATTAATGGCTTTGAACCCTTGCTTGTAGGGGGAGTGATTAAGGTGCTGTTGCTTAGTCATCAGACTTTGCTTTCTACTTAATCTGAGGTGAATATAACAGAGTTTATGAGCATAGTGATTAAAACCGTATGTGCCTTCCACGTGGAAGGTTTTCAAAGTGCTCGCTCTTTTTGCCCACTTGATTTCGGGGCTGGAGCTGCCCGACAGCCTCTGGCGCAACAGATCCTTTGCTTGTGATCTGGAGTTAAGTGTGCAGGCAGCTGTGCATTAAAAGGTGCTTTTGTAACTGAATACAGAATAGCAACTGCAGTCATGCAAAAGAATAGCCAGGTTGGAGACTTTAAGGAGAGAGATGATGAAACTTCCAACCTTCCTCATATATTTTATAACATATATTAGAAAATCTACCCTAGGAGACTTTTTCTTGAATGTTTTAGCCTGAGTTGTATGGGAAGCATGTTTTCAATTCCACATTTTAGCTGTTTTTTTCCTATCTTGTGTATGGGATGAAAAATTAAAATCAACAGAGTTTTCTGCACACAGAAAGACCTGAAAAAACTAAAACTGGGTCAGTATAAAGATCTCAGTGGGATAGTGGCAAATCACTCTATTCAGGTTCAAATTTTGTTTGTGTATTTTTTCCAAACCAAATTAATCTAACTTTTGAAACATAATGGTGTGTTAGAAATGGTGTCTTTAAAAATTAAGCTAGTTTGGAGTGGACTGAATCCAAAACCAGTGTTTCAGCAGTTTCCTAGCATTTTTCCCTGAAACATATTAGAAATGGAGGACACTCCTGAAAAAAAGCCACATTTTTTTTTTTTTTTTGCAACCTATAGCAGTGGCTGTTCCTGCTGTACTGTACCAGGGGGGATGAACATATCTGGTCCCCTAAATCTGACTTGCCTGACTCCTGGAGATGCTCCTACTTCTCACCTGTTTTTCTTGAACTTCCAAAGTAAACAAACTTTTCTGTGTTTTGGATGAGAAAGCTGACTCCCCATCTCTGCTTATCATTTTTATGAGTCATTTGCTGCTCTTTTGCCTGGAAATGGCCACGCTTTAGTCTTGCTGTATGTACAGAGTTTCCAGAGCATTTTAGAATGATCATCTCTTTCCCTCTATATTACAATACAATCACTAGGCAATGAAATACACTAAATTCTCACCTGAATAAATGTAGTTCAGTTAAAAATAAACTCACCTACCAGCTCCCTATATGAAAATGGAGAGCTATAAAATGTAGATAGGCTTGTATGGAGGGTTCTGCTAATGTTAACACACTTTTCAGTGTTCAGAGAGATTTGATTCATTCAAAAAAGCCTAGTGTGAATTCACCTGGCATCATTTCCATTTTTTTTTTTTTTCAGATCATTTCTGAAGGATGAAAAAGTCTGTGTGAAATGAGGTTTGTTTTACATTCAGCAACTGCAGGTCAGGGCCAAAAAATGTCTTGTCAGGGGACCATCATGTGGTCAGAGGCAGTGCGGCTTTGCCAGGTGGCAAGTGAGGCACCGACCCCTCCTGGTTCACTGAGATTTCCCAAAGTACAAGAGAGGACAGAGCTTGGCAGAGCCAGCTCACAATGGGCCAAGCGCTGTGCTGGCTGTGCTTCTGGGGCTAATGTAGGATGCTGAATCCACTTGCCCAGATATACTGGCCTCGGGCTCTGCCTGGAGGGTCCTCCCTAATTTGCAATAGCTCAAACAATTGAATCATGTGGCCTGACCGCTCCATTTAATGTAAAAAAAAAAAAAAAATAAAAATTAAGGTGTTTTGTTTTAAAGCGCACCGAGTACATGCACATGAATCGCTCCTTGGAGCAGCAGCATCTTCTCTGGGGATGTCTGCACCTGGGAGAGGAGCTGATGTCTCATGGGTGCTGCCTCACACGGGTAAAGATAATGGATAAAGGTTCCTTTCCTCCTTCCCTCCTTCCTGGTGCCTCCCAATTTAGTAGCTGTTACACTCTTTGAGGTAGGTGCTGTGCTCTACTTTACCCACAGCGATGATCAGTGATCTCTGTGACGACAATTACTGGAGCCCAGCCAGGGCTGCTGTTGGTTACATCTGTGTGACTGGTCCTGCACTTCACTGACGGGTGAGGTGTGTTGCTGGTCAGCCTCAAAAAAAACTCAAAGTTCAAAATGTTTGGTGAATGGAGCAATTGCTGATAGTTTTGTTTCATGTCAGAGGAACTATTGTATTTATGTTTCAAGCTTTCCTAATAAAAATGCTATCCCCATCCCTGGATTTTAAAAGGTGGCATCAGTTCAAACTGACAAAGGGAAACATCTTGTTTTCAAAACACCCAAAGTAATTGACGTTTACCCCTGCTTTTCACTCTTTCCTGCACAACAAAAACAATTTGGCCAAGTTTGTATCCAGTTGTGAGATGTTTGGGTACACCACAAACTGTGCAGGTTTTCTTTCTGTAAAATCGAGTGCTGGGAAGTGACAAGTGTTCACTGGAGCAGAAAAGTGAGGGTTTTTCTCCCAGATCTTTGATAGATGATGAGCAGTACAGCGGCTAATGGAGAGCTGATGCTACCCTGCTCGGATGCTGAGTCTTTGAAAAAATTGTATTGCTGCAAAGATGTTGGTTCAATCCACTCGAATGACTACAGCTATTTTAATAAGGGAATGATTGTATGAGAAGGGAAATGATCTGACCAGTTTCTAAGGTGGTATTACCTTGAAAGTGCCATTCCCTTTCGAGGTTGTACTAGTACAGTGGTATTGCTGTAAGGTCACAGCTTACATATCCAACAACTGCAGGAATCTGCTGGGACCAGACTTACACCAGCCAGTTCCTTCTCAGTAACTTCTTCCGTTGAACTCTTCGTGGCTGGTGATGAGGATGGAGATGAGGAGGCGAAGCCAGCAGCATCCCCAGCCTTGCCTTGGGACTTTGGGACTTGATTCCTTTTTTGTCACTCAGGTTTGAAATCACTGCATTTGTGTCTTCTCGAGATATGCAGGCTCTTGTGTTTGCTTTCTGTATTCATCTCAGACTCACACTGGCGTTGGGTACACTCGCACTCTGGGTACATTTTGTGAGATAAAGTGACATCTCCTCAATTAGGAAAGCTAAACCAAAATAAGATCTCTGTTGTCCTAGCTGGTGACATTTAGTAAGTCTGCCGCAAGGTGCCAAGTTTCAGAGTATTACAGCAGGGATGTTCACACTTCAGCTTCAGATTTAGATGTTCCAGAATAGAAATAAGACCTGACATAAATAATCTAATTAAAAAAATAACAACTATTAAAAGGCCATGTGAATTTGGCACCTGGAATACTTATGTACACTTTACATCCCACGGTGGTGCCTCTCATAGGCTCACAATGCCTGTGAATACTGCCTTGCCATTTTCATATTGCACCTTTCCATGCCAAGGTTTTGTAGAACTGGTTGTTCCTTGCTGTCCCGAATGCCCAGCTGGGACATCAAGAGGTAAAGTGCTGGGGAGAAGCAGGACCAGTCTCAGAAACAGGGTAGATTTGCCTGATCACTGAATTTCACTACCCTGTCTTTCCTATTCATTTGAGCAGGCTCCAGGAACATCAGTTCCTTTTGCAGGGGATAAACATGGTATTAAAATGGAAGTAGAGAAAGAAAGAGCACAGGGTAACATCCCCACTGAAATACGACCTCTCTTTGGGGCAGCAGGAGTTGTCAAAAACTGCATTTGCAATGTTGATGCTTCAGTAGGGGGTTAACTGTGCCAGTGATCAGATGGATAATTCAGTTTAAAATTATTGTTTTACCTCACTCCATCCAATTACTCAAGTTGTTTTGCTATCCCACAGATCTCTCCGTTAATGTCAACAAAATGATTATAGACTGCAACAGCGTCAAGATGTTTCACTCACAGGAGCGCTGGTGAAATGTTTATGGTGCAATGTGTTGCAAGCAGCATTTGATGTGTAAATGTCAGGAACAATCAGCTTTCCTGTCACCAGAACGAACACGCAGAAATACAGGTGCCGAAAATGTCACATGCACAACTGAAGAGCTACTTTATCTCAGGCCACATAAACTGTCACGTGAACAGCCAACATCAGTGTCGGTAATGGTGCAAAAAACCCACCACAGCTCTTTGCTGGTGATGCTGTGCACCACTTCTGATCTGTGAATCGCGATCAGCAGCGTGGTCCTTCCTTTGGTATCCGTGAGCGAGCTGATGGTGGGGAGATGGTCGAGGGATGATTGAGGGTGGCAGCACTGAACACAGACCAAACCTCTCTGCTTGAGGGGAAATCAACTTCATAAAGGATGAAGGTGCACCCTGGGAGACACCAGGGTTATCTAGAAATGGGCCACGATGCCTCCTTGTGTGGCTCTGTGGGCCTCACCCAGATACCCCTCTTCTCGGGATAACCTGCAGAATAAGGTTTTGTAACAACAACAATGAGCATCTGCAGCCCCTTGTGCTATGGGCAGCAGGCAGTGTATCCCCACGTCCCCGCACGGTGGTACCACTGAAAGTGCCGTCGGTCCTGTGCCTGTGCGTCAGAGCAGGGGGTACTGCGGCACAGGGCTGGGGTCCCCCATCTCCATCCCCCTGGGGGAGTCACGCTTTCTGCTGGCAGACGGGGGGTCAAATAAGGGTTGCTGTCAGTCCACCCAAGACTTTGCAATCCAGTCCCACTGACGCCGAGGGTGCCCAGATCCACTGATAAAGGTTTCTGTGATTCCCACAGATTGATCAAAACCCCATTTTTGCTAATAAACCTTTATAATTCCCTGTTGCATCAGCACTCCTCATTTCTTGGTAATCGAAGATACAAAGAAAAGTCTGATGAAACAAGCCAGATCTGAAGGCAGAAGATATTGAAATCTGGAAGATTTAATTTAATATTTTTATTACATATTTTTGGAGCCCTGATTATACCCCCACCCTCCAGGAATTTATTTACCTAAGGAAAATTATACTACTGATTACAAGATTGCAGGTTCATTTTCACTGCTGAGAACTCGTTTTTTTTACAGCTCACGTTACACTTGCATGACTTGTAAAGTTTTGTAACATCTTGAAATTTTTAATGCTACATTGCGGAAGGGTACTTATATATAGATGAACTAAGCAGAATACTTGCTTTGCAGTCTTTTTGAGGGGAAAAAAAGTTAGTTTCTGGGTTTGAATAGGTCTGTAAATGGTTTCTTTGAGCTATCGGGTAGAGAGTTCACAGGGTGCTCTCAGGAGCTGCCTTGCGTTTGTCCTTCAGGCTGAGTGCAAAGTGGGAAACTGCGAGAGGTGTCTTTAAAACACAACATAAGAAGGAATGCTTTCTACAGGGGAATAAAAATAAATTATGCAGAAATCGTGACTATATTGTGCATGAAATCATACTGGCAAGGTCCCCATGGTAAATATTTGTCAGAGAGGACAAATCTTAGAATCTCAGTTTTTCCTATAGATCATTGCACCTGGGCCTTTTGAATCATAATTCATATCAGCCAGCACTGCATACTGAGTTAAGGTCAGGAGAGATTTCCAGATGTATTATGATGATTATCTAACAATTCAGTTAATAGAGCCATAGAACTGGATGAGATTTTTGTCAATTCCGATGTCACAGCAACAGAGACCTTTGACTGAAACAACATCATGAATATTGGATAAGATCCTACAGTGCTGCTTCTCCATGTTATGATATTATCCAAGGATGAAGGTTATAAATACATGAGTTATACTGTTCACTTTCCAGTTGGTAAAAACAAAGAAAAAAATCCCCATAATCAAGTTCCAATACACAACTAGAGATAATATAGCTTTTTCTTTATATATATATATCTGTATATATATCAAGTAAAAAAATCTAAAATAGTTGGAAGTAAAAAATGAAAAAATAGCTGATTGTGTTATTTTTTTTTTCTTTACAGTGATATGGTAGCAAATACAAGACAAATGAATAATAAACCTTTACATAAGGTGTTCTGGTCCCTTCTCCATCAATAGGGCTCAGACTAGAATAGAAAACGGAACAAGGTGGTTTTGTTTTTTGGCTACAGCTTCTGCAAGTGACAAAGATGATGTTGATAAGACAGGAGGAAATTATAGCACTAAATAAAATAAAAATCCAAGGTGTTTTCCAAAAGACCTTCAACATCATAGGGCAAAATTTACTTCTGAACTGAGGGAGCAAACACAAAGCATCACCAAGTCCTACTTAGGCAGAAAATACTGTATGCTTATCCTGGCCTCAAAATACATCCCTTTTGTGCCATCTTACCATTAAAAAAAACCCATTAATGCATCAGTTGTCCCGTTCATCCCCCCCCCCCCAATAATAAAAAAGCAAAGTCACAAATCCATCACATGGACTGAGCCAGACGTGAGACCTGAGTGATGCACAAGTGGTTGGCTGCCCTTTGTCCCAGGAGCGAATTTTCCCCAGAATCCTTCACATTGAAAATGTCAATTGACTAAGCTTGGCAAATGGTCACACTGAGCCCTATTTTGGCTGTAGAAAAGAAAGAAGTACTAGTATCAGCATAAAACAAGATCATATAGACGGTCAACACAAAACAGTATTTTTTTCAGTTGTCTGCATAATAATAACATCATGTTTGCATATAGAACAGCTTTTGCATTATTGCTCTACTTATAAGAATATAGTAAGGAACTTATAACAGACTTGCACATTACAAACTTAAGGTTCTTTGGTGAAGAATGAGAAAACAGTATTTTCGCTGTAATTAAATCTCAGAGAAGTTTTTGTTTTTATCTGTTGATCCTTTGGATTCTCTCACAGAGGAGGGAAAGATACTGAGTCAGCTTTACCATCGCGACGATGGCGACTCCGCCAATCATCATGCAGGTGGGCCAGAAGAGGGAGTGGAACAGCACGTTGGAGCTGTACAGTTTGGTTAATATCACATTTTTCTGAACACCTTCAGGGTCGTAGAAGCAGGAGAAGCGTTGGTACTTTCTGAAGTTTTCCATCACGACATTCACCAGCGACATGGATTCCTCATAATTCTTGCCACACTTGGGTATGTATGAGCACTGGGAAGAAATTAAAGGGAGAAAAATGCATCTCCAAACCAGATATCATGTCTGTTTTCAGGTGGCAGGCAGGAAAATCTCAAGATGATTATGCTTTTCATAATAAGAGTGGAATACTATTAAGTTAATAATAAATTTATCACAGACAAAACTCAATATTTTGCACATCTACAGAATTTCCCATTGGAGAACCTCCAAGTGCTGTACAAACATTAATGCTTTAATCTGCACAGCAGCCTCGTGAGATAGGTGAATATATTATTATTGCTAATTTACACATGCAAAAATGGAACTGATGAAGTACCTCTTCATCTTAAGTGGCACGCATATGCTCGCAGTTAGATGGGTAATTGACTCTCTGTAAATACAAATCTGGTAGTTCAGATTTCACTTGGATCAGATCAGAGCGATCGTAGTGGGCACAGGAGTTCACCCAGAGGAGAGAAGGCTGAAGAGAGACCTTTATACAAATTTTCCCTTGTGGGTAATGTCTTAATTAGGGACAAATGGTCGAGGAGAAAACAGTTTTCCCACTGACCGCCCACAGGATTTTCATTCAAATTCTAGCTGAAGATCAGCCTGGCTACCAGGCTGACTCTTAGTCTTGTTTTTGCTCTTGACCCCAGCATAAGTCAAACAGTTCCTTCTCTCTGAAGATGCTTCTTGAATTTCAGTCTTAGTCACAAAGTAATGAAGTTTTGGGGGTGGCTCTATCTGACACAGTTTCAACCTGGCATTCCCAAAGAATACTAAAGGCCAGTTAATTAAAAAACTAGCTTATGGAGTTTATGCATTGAAGAATATTCCATGGAACATGCAGGACAGTGACCCCTGGCTGTGCTGAACGTTCCCTGCATAGAGCTAGTGTGCACTGGTGGGGTTGTGGGCAGACACACAAGGACTGAGGCCACCTGCACTTTGACCTAGAGCAGAAACACCTGAATGTGCTGGTGCTGGAAGAGGACTGATAGGCACAAACCAAGGCTCCTCACTCCCTCTTCTCTTCTAGGCACTTATGCCCCCTCCACACCTGAAGATTTTCTACACCTGCACAAGATCTTGATTAAATTCCCTACCCAGTCAAGAACTGCTGTGGGAGGGGTAGAAATCTGCTGCTTAACTTTTCATTGAACATGCATGAGGGGAATCACCTCGTCACCGTTCTCTCACAGTTATGGGGTGATTGTGGGTGCCTGCTATGGTCTCTGCCTACGATGCTGAACCTGCTTGTCCTGGGTGAGTACCTAAAGTAGCTCCAGGTAATTTAATGAGAGAAAGTGAGTTTTGCAAAGGAAAAAAGATGTTTTGATTAGAATAATGTGACCCATGGCTTTTGATTATTATAGTTTTAATGTATGTAGTCTATAAATGTTCCTCCATTCTTTGTCATGACTATGCTGTGACTTTTTTGTAATGTACTGCGATAAATCTCTTGTCGTAATGATGATCAAAGGATTAACCTCATAACAGGATTTGATTGATTCATTAGCAAGTTTATTAGTACAGAATATGATTTGAAGAGCAGCAGAAAGATTGTCTGGTGTTAGCAGACTGGAGCATTAAGGGTAGAGCATGGCAGCATTGCCATTATGAATATTTCATAGAGCTCTAGAAATTAGAGATGGAAAATATCAGAGCAGTAATATCTCATCCATCTTCCTGCTGGTGCAGGTCTGCTCCCTCCAGGATATTCTCTTGCACTCTGCCCATCTTTGTCTTAAATGTCCAAAGCCATAAGCCCTCTTCCAGTGCCTATGCCTCTTTAATAGATCATAATCTAATAAGTAGGGGAAATTTCTCAGTGAGACATACCTCATTTTCTTTTACTAATTTATGTGCTGTCATTGTTGTAACAGCAGTATTTCCAGCTCAGATTTTTTTTGTTTGCTTTTTTTTTTTTTTTTCCTTGCAACTTCGGTGCTATACATTTTTGCTTCTTGAAGTCCCATGAAGCATCCTGAGGGAGGAGATTAAAAGAGAACTTGGCCGCTCTTGCCAAAGTCTGGTCCTTCCCTTTTGACAGGACACTGTAGGCACGTAAAAGCCCAAATGATGACAGATTCCTGGACTCAAAGTCTGCAGAAATATCCCAAGAATGCAGCTGGGGGAGGTCTGACTTCTTGCAAGTCTGAGTATTTTCCAAGCATTTTCAAAGCAAATGATGATGCTGAAGCAGAACTTGAGCTGTTCCTCCTACACCTGATGGCACAGAGACACCAGCTGTGCAGGGCTGGTTGGGCTGCCCATGACATGAGGGTCTGGGAGTATGAAGCTGTGATATGCAGTTGTGCAAGGGACCTTGATTTGCTTTGCCTCTCAGCCAGGCTCCTTGTGCTGAAACTCTCTCTCCAGGCTATGGTCTCCCATGCACTCTCCAAAAGATGAGTGCCCTTTGCTCCATGTGCTACTTGCCTCATTGCAGATCTGAGCTCCTGGAGGCATCTCAGCCTCAGCTTTGAGGAGCTCCTCAGCACAAGGACTCTCTGTGTACATTAAGTTGTGGTTGTGCAATGTTCCTGGCCTCCTTCCGTGCCTTGGCTTCCCCAGGGATAGCCCAGGGCTGGCTCTGGTTGCTGGCGTCTGCCATGTTGCGTGGGTCATTGATGTACAAGTAGGTAGACATGGATAGTGGGATGTTTTGAGGTTTTCTATGGTTTAATCTTCATTCAGTTTTCTCTAATGACTGGCAGGGAATTTTATATTCACAATTGTTATGCTGTAGCTGTGAATGTAGACTACTAAATCTATGGTGTTTTATTACACATCTGTGTTATCAAACACTTGGAAATCTCCAAATCTGGAAGTAAACAATGTCTGTGTCTCTACCTCAAGTGAAGAGTCTGTGATACACTGTGAGGAAAGTGGTTTTTGTGTTACTTGCAGTCTGGTCACAAGAAGGACATACTAGGCAGTTACAAAGAGAACTTGTTATTACATTTCCATCTCTACTTTCCTAATCTAAAGGACTGGATAGGTAGCCTGTATGCAGTACCTCTGGACATGTCCCGTCCAATGCCCTGCTCGGTGCAGTGTTACTCAGTACTTGTCCAGTCAAGTTCTGAATATCTCCAAGGATGGAGAGAACACATCATCTCCAGGAAGCCTGGAGGAAGTTTCATTTAATCAGTGATGTTTTTCTGAAAAAAAAATATTGCAGAAAAGCCCCCAGTTCAGGCTGGGCAGTGGAACACATGACTCTCGCCATAAGTTTGTGGTTGGGGTTTGTGTCCATGCTGAGTCCAGAAGCTTTGACAAGTGAGAAAGTGGTCAGAATGTGAATTTACATCTCTTTGGAATGTGCAACCGGCTTTGTGTCTGCGTTGGCCTGATATTGATTCCTGCAGACTGAATTCTCTAGTCCCAGCACAGAAATGCATCTGCTAGGAACCACAGCTGAACATCACTGCTCCCCCCAGGCACCAGGCAAACTCCTGCCCACGTTATAAATACCTGAACCTACAGCGGGAAATCACCATGAGATCCCCCATCATTTCTGAGTCCCAGGCAGTTAGAGCTGGCATAACGGTGATTCTGGTGATTAAATCCTGCTTGTTATCTCACTTATGGAGCATGGGTATAAATCAGCAGTGGCTGCCATGACATGAAAAGAATCAAAGTGATATAGTATGAGATCAAAATGGGGCCTCTAGAACTGCTTTAACTACCACAGCCCTTCCTCAGGGTGACAGCCTGGCTCTGTGGTCCAGGCACAAGGGGACATCAGCCAATTTACGTCTCGCAGAGGCTGTTACAGCCTCTGACAGCTGAGGAAGGAAAGTGTAGCTGTGAAAGCATTTAAGTCACTCTGGTTGTACTATTGATGAGGGGATGGGCTTGTTGTAAAGGCTAGAGATAAGGAATGCACAGCAAAAGCAATGAAAAGCCATGAAAAATCTTGTGCATTTTCCTGGGAAAGACTTGAGCAGCTCGACTGGTATCCACTTATTTCCCACTGATTCCCGCTGGAGACTGGCAGCAGCATGCTGTAGATCTCAATATAAATTGCACCTACTCCTTACTGCACCTCGTGAGCTGACAGCTAGGTTAGACAGCAAGTCTCCTAGATTAATCATTATTTAAAATCAAAGTGCGTTTTGCTTCATCTGTGCTAGCTGGCAGGGAGAGGAGAGAGACGGGATCCAGATGCTGCTCTGCGTGCGCGGCGGTGCTCAGCGAGGCAGAGAGGTTGGTGGGGGGATGCTGACCTTTTGAATGTCACTGGTGTTGGCCTCAGAGGGTAAGCACCATGCTCTGCAACACCCCCAGCAATGTCAGGGCTCAGTTAGCCAGGGATGGCTTTTTGTTGTTGTTGTTTATTTGGCAAGGAGAAAGATAGGAAATGCAGACCTGAGTAGGTAGATGGAGAGAGACAGCTAGCACTCAGCTGGAGCATCACAAAACCTGCTCAGGGCTGCTCATCCCACCACACGGGGCTGCTCTCTGGCCAGGCGAGAGGGAATGCCTGTCCAGGGAGCTGAGATGGGTTGTGCTGATCTGAGCTTGGAGTCTCTGCTAATCTCAGCCAGGCACAAGAAGCCAGGTATTTTATAGACATTGCAAACTTCCATTCAAAACTGTGTTTGGATTCAGGTCACATAGCCAGCGGCATGTCAGGAAAACCTAGGAATCCTCCCGAGAGCAGAGCTTAACCTGTAAAACAACCTTGGGCTGAAGAAGTATTAACTGTGCCTACATTAAATTAAGAGGAGGCGGCATTTGGGAGAATTTCAAAGTCCACTTCAGCAAGCAGAAATCATTGGTAACATGTGTAAAGAATGTGGAGATTGATGCTGAATCTCTTGTTTTATTTGAACCAAGTGGAGCACAGAGACTGATCTGATCTGTTTTAATCAATTTGTGGCATGAATGACATTGGATTTTGCTTCTGCCCCAGCAGACAGTGGGGTCTGCCCTGCCACAGGCAGCGAGTGCCTCCTTTCTGCACTGACACCAAACTGGAGAAGATGGGGGCACTCTTCTCCATTTCACACTTCAGATCCAGAGGACTTTGTCTCTCAGCCACAGAAGCTAATTATCCAGCACAATAACCGGCCCAGTGCAACCATGCCGTGCTTTGACTAATTTTAATATCGCTTCATCTTAATATGCAGAAGTAATTTGGTCTGCTGAACTGCTGCCATAAATAGAAACACAATAGGTTATGTTGTCAGAAGCCTGAACTGGAGCTCTGCTGTCACAGGCTGTGCTTTGTCAGCACCCATAGTTTGGGGTTCAGTGACCTTGGATAACTAAGTAGTTAATGCAAATCTAACACTTGTAAGATTAATGGCTTAGCAGGGTCCCAGCTCACTGCAGCTTGCCGTCCTGGGTACCCAGGTACTGTAGATATGAAGAAAGGAAGGAGGGGAGAGGGACAGTTCTTAGTCCAATCCTGCCTTGCTATGTGGAAGGAGCAAACAGCCACCTGCGAAGAGGCAGTCGCTTGACTGGGTGTGATGCACAGCACTGCGTCAGCTGCACAGCTGCGGCTGCAGGCTGCGGGGAGATGCCTTCTGTGCATCCACTGCCTTCATTATAGCCTCCAGACAGGAGCTGTCTCCATCCCACCTGGATGGAGTTATGCTGGATTTTGTACTTGCTGAAGCAGAGAGAGGAATTCTTCTGCAGATTTGTTAAAAGTTTGTGGGGTTTTTTTTGTTCAATATTTGGAATCGGGGAAGTTGTGCGAGAAAGATGAGCTGACTCCTTAGCTTATACATGCCCAAAAGCCAGGCCTTTTATGTTGCTGCTTTTATCTTGACAGTCCCTGCTCAGCAAACTTTCAGCATCTTTACACCATCCACAGCGGTAAGTGCTGTGCCTTGACCCCAGTGGCACAGCTGACCTCAGCAGAGATGCTCAGGGCGCAGAGTTTGTCACCAGAGATTGAGACAGAGACACGTTTGCTGTTAGACATGGGGTTCTCGTCTCTCCCCATCACACTGCCTGGCCCTGCAGTAACAAGGCCATTTTTATTCTCACCACCACGGATGCTCCATGCACATCACTAGGGGTGTTTGCTATCATGCAGAGCCATACCCAGGTGGGAAGTGACTTGTCCACAGCTCCACAAGAATATCAATGTGACAAGTGCTCAGCGCTAGCCTGAGCCTCTAAAGTACTTGCAAAGGATGAGGGAGGCTCCAGCCCCTGGGGGACACCACCCTGTGTGGGATGAGCTGCACTCCCTGCATGGGATGAAGAAAACTGCCCCCTCCAGAGATGTGAGCTCAGCTTGTGCACTGAATTCTGCTTTCTCTGCTCTGTATTTACCAGTGAAGCAGGTGCTGGAAGCCTTATATTGCTTTAAAATGAGGAATGGGTATAACAAGGTGAGTATCCCTCCAGAAACCCATTTAGGAATAAATTTTATTCTGTGTTCTTACCTCAGAATTAATTTTCATTGTTTCCTCAGTGTGATAGAGCAGAAGCTTCTGGCCAGAAGAAGTGAGATTAACGTACACCTGGAGGCAGGGGTACTGAGAAATTTTCCAGCAGTCTGGACCGCAGCTAAATGAGCAGTTGAAGGTTTCTGTGATGGATGCATTGAGAAGCGAGCACTGAGTCTCTTCTGTCCAGACACTAAAAAGGAAGAAAAGAGATGTTAGAGCATGGCAAGAATGGGAAATAAGCATTAAATGCAGCTCAGGCTTTCCGTCAGGGATATACCGGGGTCATCTTGTAGGAGATGGTGTCTGTTGCAGGGCTTTGAGCAAAGGCTGGACTTCCTCACGTCACACATCACAGACAGTGTATTATTCTGTAGTACCCAAAGTTTGTGCTTTGGGCACAAAAATACCCAATTCATTTATGTCTATGTACAAATGAAAAGGGAACTGGAACTTTTAGCCTGGAGAAGGTATATTTGAAACCAAAGGGAATCAGCAGAGATATCAGAGAAGAAAACCAAGGAGCCTGCCCTGGGTAGAGCACAACACACACAGTGGACCATGACAGGACACCCTGGGCCAAGACTTGATGGTTAACCACCAAGCCTGGCTCAATTTAAAGGGAGGGTTGGGAAGACATCTTTGAATTACCAGGGTACGTATATTCATGTTCATGAAGACACAGTAACATGCAAGTGGTGCTGCATACAGCCCTACCTGTGGAAGGGGCTTTTCTAGGGGCAGGTTGCTCAGTTTTCTGTAAGTGAAGCCAGCGGTTGTAATTGTTCTGGAGGGTTCAGCTTATCTGCAATTCATCAGAGACTAAAACTGGAATGACGGAGCCTGAGTGTGCACTGGCAATGTTCACTTGGGTTTCTTGCATGTTTTTAAAAACCTACAGCTGTATTTTCCTTAGGGATGAGAGCAGTGGGAAGGGCATGCTGAGGGCTCTGTGAAAGGAAGGTTTCACCCCAGGGCTTCCCTTGAGCCCCGCTCACCCCTTGGCTCCCACCCAGCACAGCTGTCCTGCACCCCACCAGGAACGGGCCGAGGCTGTGCTTGCCCCTTGCCAAACCTACAAAAGGCTTTACACAGTAAGTGATATCAAAGATTTCTGACTAATCCTCTTGGTATTTTACTTTGGCAGTAATTCTGCTTGTATATTCTGTTTTACATTTATATTAAATTATGCTATGATTTCTGGGGGGAAATCAAGTGAAAGGATTTTTTTTTTCCCCTCCCAGGCAGTATTTTGTTGGAGGGATATTGCTGTCTGTAAAGGAGAATAACCCCTAAGGAGGTCTGGCTGTGCGAAGAGAAGTGACAGCAAAGACTCCCGGGTTGCCATCTTCTCCTCACTTTCACCTTTCGGCTGCTGTTTTATTCATGTATGGGGGGTAACAAAGTAAAAGCTACCTACAGCAGACTTGTGAAGATGGAACATTTGATACTTTGTAGGTGCTTTGATATCTTCTGGCAATTTTTCATGTAGTTTGTAATATAAATTGTCTTCTTCCGCATGAGCAATTTTGACCTTAGCAGTCTCTGCAGTTGACCCTGATATTGCTGAAAGGTGTGGGAGAACAATTTGGAAAAGGAAATGCTCTTGGATACTTAACGGGTCTTGATCTCTGCTTTCAAAATCTAAACTTTGCCTGGATTAAAAAAGGGACAAATACCTTTATCGCACAAAAAAGGTGCTGCAAATCAGTACAGTTCATCCCCAGGCATTGCTACTTTTTCCTTATCATTGCAGGGTCAAGAAGGAATATTTTCCTGCAGGTGCACCAATATAATTGAGAATGTTCGTATCAGTTGACTGTAGGCACTCGTCTTACATGGCTAAAGAAGCAGCCTGTGGTGCATAAGCCAAACTGTGCCAGGTGTTCAACACTGCCTCATGGTGGTTTTGGGCATGACAGACTAATAATCTGATCCCCAGTTATACATTTTTCATTCTTCTAACTCCACTGATCGGGGCAGAAAAAACATTGCTGACAGTCTTATTACAGTCTGGGCTGGATTTTTAAATAGGGCTGGTGCTTGAAAACTGGTTTCAAATGCTGCTAATGAATCACAGGCCAAACTTTCTGATCTGTGACAGAGAAGGAAGCTGGAGAAGGCCTGAGAAAAATTCAGTGCAGTGCAGTAATGATGAAAGATGATCTTTCACTTTCGGCAAATTACTGTATTTCAGGAGGATTTCACTTGTTAAAATGAAAATAATAACCTACATGGAAAACTATGTGCTACAAAGCAGCTTGCTTTCTTTCCCAAATTAATTCTTCATTCTTCATTTGAAAGTGTGTTGTTTGTTGATGCTGCTAAATATTTTTGCTGTTTTCTTCTGAGTTTGGGCTTTTCAGCAGCAGCCCCCGAGAGGCTTACAGGGTTCAGCTGGCTGTCGACCAGCTGATATGGATATTAGAATGGTGTTAAACTGTGGCAAGTCTAAAGCCTGGATCAAGATTTTTGTCAAACAGCTATCTAATTCTTCCCTCACTTCTGCTGGTATTATTCAACTGGCTTTCACTGTAGTTATGCCTAGCTTATACTGTGGTAAGGAAGTGCAGAATCAGGCCTATGTTGATCAAAGAAAAACATTATAAAACTTAAATAAAAAGAGTTGTATGAATAAGCCACATGAAGTGAGCTGGAGCAGAGTGTGAGATCAGGGTAACCATCATGAATTTACCTTTGCATGTAAGACCGCAGCAGGGTGATTCCCAGGAGGAAGTACATCATGATAGAGCACACCATCATGGCCAGCCCGAGGAGTATGGCCCGGTCTTCTCCGGCTTTTAGGGCTGTGACTGTTTTCCTTTTGTCCAGTAGATCGTGATCCCTGATTTTTTGGTAAATATTTCTGAGGTTGAAAATAATACATTGTTATGTAAAGTTCATATTTAATCAAAGAAGCCTCTACAGAGTGGGTAGTTCCACCTCCATACCCATCTCATGGGAGAAAAAGGCCTAAGGGTCCTCAGGTGTCCTTTTTCATCAGATTCACTCTGACCTGGTGGAAACTTATTCATCTCCAAAATAAATTACAGCCATTTCTGAAAAGGTAGAAACCTCTTATAGCAAACACAAAGACTAGACACTTGTGCCAGCTCAGTAAATCCTTCTTTGATACTTCATTGGATCAGTTGAATTATACCACAGGTGAATTTGACCTGTCAATGCCGTCTGAGGCCACTAGACGATGTTTAAGTATATGAGGTGTCTTGTCTTCAGTTCGATATGGTAACAGGTCTTATGTTACCATATGTAGAAAACAGCCTGAAGAAAGACGTCACTAAAATTATCTGAAAGGATCATGTTCTTTTTTTAATTCTCTACAGGCTAGCGGTTTGGGTAGTTTTCCTGAGTGTGACTCAAAGCTCGTGAAACACTATGGGGATTTTGCAATTGATTTCTGTGGGGTTTTTGATTGGGAGCTTATTTACTTTATTTATAAAACAGCTTTCTGGAAGCCCAGTTACTCATTACAGTGAAAACCCTAACAGAAAATTATCCACCAGAGCTATTTGTTCTGGGATTAAAAAAAAAAAGAAGATACAACAAACCATTCCCCCTTCAGCAGAGAGTCCTTTGCATTTTCTAACTATAAGTCCTTTCATCTCTGAGCCTTTGATGATTCAATGGGTCATGAGGACACAATGGCGAAGGAGGAAATATTTGAGTACATTTCAAACACACTCAAACTTTGTGGGTTTAAAATGTACTTACAGACCTGAGGCTGGTCAAAATCTCCTGTGTTTTCTGTTACGGTTCTTTTGAATCATCCAGGCAGCACCCGAAGCATGTGAACCGCACACTTCTGAGCCCTGGCACCACCATAACACGGACATAGTTGTACACGTGGAAGAAGTTCCTCTTCTACTCTCTGCAAAATGGCAGGTGAGCAACATCAACATCACTTTGGGCTCTAGCAAACCCACCACTCATTTAAGCTGAAACCACCATGTTTCACTCAACCTTGGAGAAAAGCATTGTGTTAGACCAACCGTGTAACTGACGTTCACTAATAGGGACAAAGAAATAGAGTTAAGACAGATGTAAAATCGCACATAAGCACATCAGAAACAAGAGAATAGGTTTAATCATAAACTCCCCAAAACTGGAATTGAATTTGTATTTAGATGATGAGTCATAGTCAGGAAAAGCACATATGGTATGTGGTTTTATAGCAAAAATCTTGCTTAGATGGTTCTGCAGTTAATAGTCTCCTATACCTAAGACCCCTTGAGGTTTCTTCATTGAAGTGTGATTTACATATTTAGATGTCCATGGTTTCTCTTCAAAACCATCCTTTAAATCTTGTCAATGTTTTCCTAGTTGGAAATGAAATGGTAATTCAGCCTGTCAAAATTTTCTCTGGTATTGGGGAGAAAAAAATATATTGTGAACTGGCAGATGCAATTGCCTTCAAAGAAGTAATGTAGAGTAATAATCTAATGTTACTTTTCTATTATTATTTATCAAACTGTATTTAACTCTGAGAGCTGCTATTAGGATTTGCATTGCTCCCAAATGGAAGCAGGCAGGAAGGCAGAGATTGTCATGCAGTTCCAGCACATTAACCGATCACACAGCATAACTTATGTCAGCGCATAGACGTAAAACAGACACAGTGCAATCGCTCACTAGTGTCATCAGAGCAGCTAGGGCATAAAAGGGATACAAATGGACAATTTAAAAACAAATAGCTAATTAAGAATGGTTACTAACACTTCCCAAGTGGCCTTGAGCCAAGAAACGTGCAACGAGAGGTAAAAAAAAAAAAAAAAAAAAAAAAAGGTGACTGGCAAAGGGGACGGTGTGCGGTGACCGCCTGCCAGGCGGATCTCCCACGCTCGCCTGCCATAGTAGATAAAGCTAGAGCTCTGCCTCGGGAGTCGTGCTCGGAGCAGTTGTGCAGTTGCTCTTTTGTAAATATTTGTTATTCAAAGGCCCAGATGACAGGAACGTGGTGGCCTGGTGCACCTTACTGAGGGCTGTTTTCTCCTGAATGCCTGGCAGGAGTCAGCCTGGTGACACGCGCCGAGGTGTGCGGTGGAGTGGCACGTGCCAGCCTGTGACACACCGGTCCTGATGCAGCCCAGGAGGCACGCTGAGTAACCATCCCTCCTCCTCCTCCCTGCTCATGCCGGCAGCAAGGAGGTGCCAGTTTTCTCCGTATGATACTGGGAACATCTGCTATTGCCGGACTTGACGTTTTCTGCCCCTGACAGCCCAGGTTTGGGGGGACATGATACGTTGTGCAGAATATTTAGCTGGAGTGGCAGTGGTGGCCTGCACGCGTGTGTGTGCTTCTCCGTGGCGGGGATTTTGTGTACGCGTGAACTTTTGGCACAGCCCAGGGACCTCTTTCTGCTTGGTGAGCTGGAAGAGTGCCGTGCTTAGCTGGCTGATTTTTGGATCCCAGGGATGCACAGCCACAATTAGCTGACTGCTGCGGTGTGTTTAAGTACAGATCACTGCATCCCAGACACTACTCGTCTAGGTGACTCCATCTATTACTTGTGATTGCCTGTGATAACTCCCCAGATACGACACCGAGGGGGGCTGTTTGTTTTTAAAGAAGTCCTACCTGTCAGAACAGGGGATCCCTCTGCGCTGTGGAAAGATATTTAATAGAAAGCAAGACTCCAAGGACAGACAGTCTTTGCTCCCTTGATCATTTCCAAACTGAAGTTCTCCACTGATAAATCTCCATGGCTTTTTGTGAGGTTTTTTTGCCAAATTGCTCAGAGAATATGAGCTGGCTCTCTACACAGGCTCAGCTGCCAGAGGAAATCTTGGCCGTGACCGTGACTGTGCCCGCTGGGGACAGAACAGAGATTTCCCTCTCTGCTCTCTAACAGCAGCAGTGCAGGGATCCCTCTGCAATGTGGTCAGCAGCTCCTTATGTGATCCCCAGAGGAAAGCTTAGGGAGGACCTGTGTGATGAAATTAGAAGCCTGGGTTATGTTAGCCTGAACACAAGACAGGCAGGAAGAGTTACAAGTCCTGTCTGAGCTTACTGGCCTTAATAAAAAAGTTCTACATCTTTTGTAAAGTTCCCCGCATCCGCTGCAGCCGAGATCTTTATTTGCCATCGTGAGGTATGTGACCTTTTAGTACTTGCTTATGTGAAGGGTGAGGCACACCGACTTGCTCTGTGCTCTGCTGGCACAGGACTGCTCCACAGTTCTGAGGATGTCATTAACTTTTTGGCATGCATTAGGAATGGTCCTGTATGCAAAGGAGTTGCAACTGGGCATTGCCGCGTAGAGCAGGAAAGACTAAAATAATGCTTCTTCTGACCCAGTACAGCAGTTCTTGTTTTGCTCCAAAATGTATACATCTAGGAGCTCTGCAAAGGGTGTCAAGTTTACTCACTGGAAATTTAGAATAACCAGGCACCTGCAATTACTTAAAAAAACCAACAACAACAACAACAACAACAACAAAAATCCCAAACAAACCAACAAATTACCTACCCTCAAATTCCTTCCCTTGAAAAAGGACCATGGTGTGGCACCGAGGGAGACATCGCCTCCTCCGGCACTGTGTGGTCATGGGGCTTTTCAGGTGGGGATACTTGCCTGCCTGAATTATTCAGCATGACTTTGAATTCACATTCACTTTTCTGATATCGCAGTTGTTATGCAGATGTCACACAAACTACCTTATGTTGAGGTGTTTACTGATATCACAAATCCTTGAAAGCAAGGGTCAAAAAACCCTCCTGTATCTTACCTGCAGAATTCCCAATATTCAGGGACTTTTCTACTCAGAAGCCAATTTCTTTACATTTTTCTTAACAGGGTATATTTAGCTGCATTAGGTTTTTTATTAGAGTTATGGCAATGGAAAATCTCTCTGGAGCTCTCACAAAAGTCTCACTGATGGTTGTAGCAGGATTCTTATCGATATAAACAGATTTCCTTTACTCGGTTCCCTTCCTCTTCCCCACCAAACTGAACCAAACCAAACCAAACCAGTGCTTTGGTTTCCCGAGCTTACGATGTTGTGGAAAGCCTAACTGGTAGCTGAGGAAGAATGAGGGCTTGACTAGGCTTACGCAGCGTAACAAGTAGAAGTTGGGGAACTGTGGATGTCTAAAACAACAATAAAATATATACATTTTGGGCCTGATCCTGCAAAAAGAGATGACTGAGAGATACCTTCCACTGAGAAGACTCTGATTCCCCCTCATCAAGTGACACATTGCTGCACAGATTATTATTAGAGTGCGATCCCTCAGAAGTCTGTGACTGTAACACGTGTCAGGTGACAAGTTTGCTGCTCCACATGGCAATCTTACTGTCTGAAGTTTAAAGAACAAAGATTTTTAGGAAAGGGTCATTTAGGGGAAGTCATTTATCTAAAATGCACCGCCTGTTTGATATAGTGATGCTGCTGGTGACCTTACATGTGTTAAAATCACTGCCAGACGCTGGTGGATGAGTTTCTTCCATCAGCAACACTTGCTCTGTTTTCACACCTCTCCTCTGAAGTCCTGAGGCTGAAGTCAGCACTCTCCTATTTCCATTTTTTCTTCTTTTTCCCTCTGTTTTATTAATCACTCACAGGGTATTAACAATTCCTTCTGTACAGCTCTACGTGACCACCTGGGGAATAAACCCACCTGAAGGCTTGAAAAGCCACCTGAAATTACTCTGGGTGGTGTGTAAGTACAGGGATACTGCTCCCTATCTTCCTGTTTCTGCAGGGAGGGGTGAGCTTTGCCCAGGGTTTAAGCTGACCAGACACTGGTGAGCCCTGTTTAGTACAAGGCTCAGCCCAAGCTAATAAGTCCCACTGGAAGGGATGGTGTGAATTGTGGGCCATGCAAATCAGGAGCACGTGGCTTCCCGCCAGCCCAACGTGTGGGCAGATATCTCCTCCAAGTGTCTAACCTTGGACTGTTCTGTCCATGACGGTGTTTTAATGCAGAAGAACATTAGCCTGGGGAAAATTTAATTAAAGAGGAGACTTGCAGGAGTACATGAGGCAGTTAGATAACCAGCTCCAACTGAAAGTCCATGGAAACTTGTTGCCAAGATGGTCTCTGTGGCTTCGAAATATCTGTTTGGGATTGGATTATCAAAAGACCTGAACATCTATGCAGCCTTTGCAGAAAAGTTCAGCAATTGGGCCAGTTCTCCAAAGCAACTCAGCGTCACCTGAACTCCTGAATGCATTTTCTTAAGCAGATGCACGCAGTGATGTCTCACTAGAATAACTGAAGACTGTGTTTTGCTAATTGGCACTGTAGATACATTGACCTCTGGTTTTGTTTCACTGGAGTCTGATTTTTTGTGATCATATTTAATAGTGACTGCAAGGGGAACTGAAGGAGAGGAGGCAAACGGGGGAAGTGTGAAAGGAAAGAAAAGAAAGGGAAATGTGTCCGGTTGTGACAAGACAAGATGTCCAGCAAATCCCACTACAAAGGAGAGAGATTTTGGAGGGATGAGTCTGAGCATTACTGACAATTGTTCTTCCATCAGTGATATTTAACTTCTTTCATTCCCAACTGAGTGCTGCCTTTGTCTGCAGACTTAAAACCTCTCCTTCCCTTTCCATCTCTTCTGTGTAATTCCTTGCTCCCCTGAGAGATCCAGTAACTCTCTTATTTCTCTGTCTCCTTCAGCCTGTTCACTCCAGCAACACCACTTGTGTGGGCTGGTGGGCTACCAGCTCCCTTTCAAGCTGCTTGTCATCCCCCACCTATTGTGCAATGTATTGTGCACGCACTCATTCTCACACACGCATACATATAAAATGGAAATGTCTCTGACAGCTGGATGCATCATCCAGATGTGTAAAATTTACGTAGGGCGATGATCTGGCTGGGGGAGAGGAGGCACTGTGTGTGTGTGTGTGTGTGTGTGTGTGTTGTCTGGAGGGGGTTGTGGGAGTGGTGTGGGCTGATGGTTGAAAGCAGAATACCTGCAAATGGCCTAAAAGTTTCACAAGGGGGTTGTATCTGAGGCTGCAACCTGTGGCTGGGGATTAATGTGCTTTTAAATGTGCAATTTGTGTGTGCTGACCTCAGACGCGGTCACAGTGTGCTGTTGATGGCCTGGGAACAAGGAAGACTTTGGCTCTGACATTGTCCCTCTGCTCTGTTTGGGCCTGGCATATTAACCCTGGGACTCATCGGCTGGTCCTGTTGTCGGTGGAGCAGTAGCCGGGGGGATGAGAGGCAAGGGGTGGACACCCTTCGCATCCCTCCTACTTCTCTAGTGCTGCCACTGAAGAGAAGCTACAGGCCACACTCCTAAAGATTCAAACCCGTAAGAGACAATCAGCATAGATGCCGTTTACCTTTTCTCATCATGTCTGTAAGATGTAGAACTCCGGCCACTGGTCCAAATAAACATTTTAGAGGGTTGCCCAGTGTTGGCTTTGCTCGCTGCAGTGGGACGATGGAAGGACCTGGGGGAAGAGGGATAATTTTTATCACTGCCCATCCAGTGTGGCAGACCACATTATATCCAGTGTGCCAAATCCCCTGTGGCTGTGCCCAGTGTGCTCTGCAGATAGACCATTTGTTAACTCAGGGTGAGATGTAAATTAATGGGGATGACAGATCAACATGTGGGAATGAAGGCTAAATCTCATTAGCTCCACTGGTAAAACGTGATCCTGGCTAATCAGGCTTAGCTATACTCCATGCTGCAAGGGATTTGCAAAGGATTTGCACCATGGACAAGAAATCATTGGTAGCTTAAGAAAAGGTAATAGCTGCATCCAATGTTCTTATGCAGTATTTTTTGGAGACACAGTGGCAATTGTTTAAATACATACATGTTCATTAGTGTTTTTTCGTTGTACTGCAGCCCTTAGTAAGGTGAGACTCTCAAAGAGGATGTTTGAATGAGGCACAAGTATGAGATGTAAACGCAGCACTTTGTGGAAACGTAACTGATGTGACAAATATGTCTTTTCCTACAGAGAACTTACTGTCCCAAGGCCAATTGGCCAAGGTGAGTTAGATTCCTGGCCAGGAGCTGCTTTGTTTCACAGCAGGGTATGAGACCTGTTGCCTTCTTTCAGGCTCTCAGGGTCTTCTGAAGAGGATTTTAGGGACTGAATTTGAACCCTGTACTTCAGTTAGATCTCACAGAATCAGAAATAGAGTTAAAAGGATCTCAAGAAGTGTTGCTGTTGCTCTGATTCAAGGCACATTCACTATATCTATGTAATTCCTAGCAGATTTTGGTTACCCTAGGTCAACTGAATGTACACAACCATCTTTCCAGATGGTGACTTCATTGCCAGGCTGGAAGCATATCTTGTATTGGAACTGCTGGTGGGGCTACAGCTCCCCTAGTAGCTCCTCCTAATCTGTTCCTGGTTTTCGTGAGACCCTTCCTGGTGAGAATTATTTTGCATTATTTCATGGCACAGCACTTTGTGCTTTTACTGTGTTCAGAGAAAGGCTTAAGGAAAAAAAAAATTTCCAGATACAAAATACTTTAATGCCAAAGTTTTTCACACACTGTGGGCCATTCTTTAGCTCACTGAAAAAATAAACCTGATGATGCTGTCAGCAGAGAAGACACATGAATTCCTCAGTGCTCCTCATCTGAAAAAGTCTGTAATGTCACTATTGACACAATCAAGCAAAAGACTAATTTCAATATTTGCATAGTGGTGAACCTGGGAGAATACTTAAATCCCGTAAGGGAGGCTTCAGGGGAAGACTGACACGGACAGGAGCCAGAATTCATCCGTACACAGACAGGCTGATGGGTGTCAAGGGATTGGGTTCTTCATCTGGAGTCAACCCGCATCCCCACCACAAGGTCCATGACGCAGATCCACGCCAAACTCATACTCTGGTTGAGCAGCTGACTGGGCAAACTGGCCAAACTGGTGCCTCTGTCATCTCCTCCCTGCTGGGATCCTGCTGCTATGCTCAGAGTTGCTGGCTGGGGGCTTGCAGGCTGGGACCTTGCTTAAAATAAGACATGGTAATATTTGACAAAGCTTTTGTGCTGCATTCATGCGCAGTAAGTTGGACAAGAAGGCTGTCCAAAAGAAGAGAGGTAGACGGAGGCAAAACTCCCTCAGCCTTTTCCCTGACTCTGTGGTCATCACTGCACAGCTCTGAGAGCCAAAGAAAGGCTCCTCTTTCCTTACAACCACTGTAGTTAAGTACTGGGGGATAAACAATAAGATAAAGCATTTCGTCCCTGAAATAACTGTAGTTAAGAAGGTGAAATAGCATCTGCCAGGACTTAATCAATATAGCCACTGGCTAAGAAAGGTTTTTATCGTGATATTGGCCAGAAGTTTGGGTTGCAGGACCTTGGGTCTAATCCTCACCCTGCTATGTAAGATTGCACCCACGTTCCCTCAGACTGCACCACAGCAGCCGCCAAGCCTGCACTGCACAAGCTGCTGTTCCTGCATCGAGCAATGCAGAAGGGTTCAGAGCAACTATCCAAGGGCCTAGAGGTCACATCAGATATTGGACTGAGACCTGTCCCAGGCTGAGTCCCTTAATGCTGGAAAATAAAATTATATATTTGCCACTTCACCCTTTAGGATGTCACACATGAGCTGCTCGACAGGAAAGCCTGGCTGGTGCTGCTGCCACAGTCCGAGTGGTCCCAGAGCCATCAGGAGATGGTGATGAATGCTATTAGAGAATCTGTTCTTAATTAAGCAAAACTTGGGCACACATTAGAGGTGATCAGTAGCTTCTGCCACCTGTCTGAGTCTACAGAGACACCTGGACAGGACTGCCTGGGCAGGGAGGCAGATTTTCAAGCTCCAGATCAAACTGCAGGAGCACTGTCGGGGCGAGAGCTGAGTGAGAGGGCTCTGTCCCACCGAGGAGATGTCAGAGGAGCAAAAGAGGTGTCTCTCTTCCCACCAAAGTCAGAGTGATTGCAGACTCTCTTCTTGCCAGTGCCCTGGAGCAGTCCATATGTGATAGCATTAATGCTGTCTGCTCCATTAGTTGGGCAATCCAAGCTAACCATCACTATTTAACACACAATTGCACACCTAATTTTGTGTAAAATTGTAACACTGATGACATCACAGCAGCCACTCCAGAGGTCAGATGTAAGCAACTAAAGTCCATGGTTCATTTAGGCGGGGTTTAGCTGTAAGGGAAGAGCCTTTTGCAGAAAAGACTCCCCAAGACCCTCCTTTGAAGGCCTTTGGAGGACTCATAACCTAGAACGGTTACGACCTACACAACTGTGTCCTGCCCCACCGGGTCAGTTAGCAAATTTCCATGCCTTTCTCCTCCCCTGAGTTAATCCCAAGGCAGGACTGTGAAGCCCATTCCTTCAGTGTTTCCTCTCTCTTTTCTGAGGAAACAAGTAGCATTAATTTTTATTTGCCCACTGCTTCTCTGAGTCAGCTGCTGGCAACATATTTTTATCATGCAACAAGTAATCAGCCTGTGAAACTCATTACTGCAGGATGTCAGCCTAGCATTTAGAGTAAAAGTGGATTGGGCTATTGCTTGAACAGATGGAGCACCTAAAGTCATGACAATACTTGTTAAAAACAGTTTAGAAGAGGTGCTTCGAGCTGATTTTTGACTATCGGGACTCTATAGGGGATATTCCTATAGGGAAGGTTACCTGCAAACTGCTGTATTTGATGTGAGTTTTGGCAGAGTCAGGGTGCTGGGTCGGACTCTGGGCTTTCTGCTTGACTTTACCTGAATGTTGTTATCTCCTTTGTTATTGTGGCATCAATACAGTTGTGTCTTGGCATGGTTGACACAGAGACAGGCAAGGAGACCAAGCTTTGATTTTTACAAAACACACCTCATTCTTCACGTTTGGGTCTATTCTGAACAAATGCACAATGTTTAAGAGAGAAACGCAGAGTAAGAAGTGTACAACCTCCTATGAATACATGTACACCTGTGCCCAGGGCACTTCGCTGCTCTGCACTGGCCATGGAACAGCTCTAAGGGCCCATGATGCTGACACAGTGGGTCTGCCCAGGGCTGACCCATTCCTCCCATCTTCCCCTGTTCTCATCCTCCTCTTGAGCATTATTTTCTGGTGAATTTTATGGAACTCATTAGAAAACCTGATGTCCTGATTCAGCTAGGATAGGGTTAAGTTTCCTCTGCAGAGAAGGGGGAAGGGATCTCCAGGTGGGTTATTCATACCATGCTGACGTCAGGTCCAGGTGCGTGAGCGTGGGAACTTTTCCTTTGTGGCTTTGGTGACGGGAAGCACGTGAGCAAGCTGTCTGTAACCATTGCAGTAGTTCTCTGTATATCTTTTGTCTTGCTTACTGTTATTGCTGTTTATTGTTGTTATCATTGCTACTGTTGTTGTTCAGATTGTTTATCACACTGTTGTATTAAATTTCTCCTTATTTTAACCCGGGGTTTGTGCCTCACTTCCAGCCTGACTGGCTGAGTGTGGGGGAGGGACAACGGCAACGTGGTCTCCGGTCCTGGCAGGGCTTAAACCAGCACATCTGACAAGGTTTCTACTTGTCTGGCCATTTCAAGATGAGGACCTGAGATAGTTCTTATAAGATTAGAATAACTGCCCCATCAACATGTCCACTCAACAGCAACCACCTGAGAGAGGACTGCAGTGTGAAGAAAATATGCTGGGGCAGCATTTGCTTGAAATTGCTCAAAAAAAGATATAATTCTGAGGGTGAATCTGAAAATCCCTTAGCTGATACTTTGGGAACTACATTAAGTGCTTTGTTGTCCTCACTTTCACCCTGGGTTGGCTGCTTTCCTCAGGCTTTGGTTTATGTCACAATTGGTGTGAAATGTCCCTTACCTCTAGGTTACCACAGCTGTGAACAGCCAAAGAGGGATATTGCAGACCACATTTTTAGATGGAAAGCTGGGTTTTATATGTGTGTTTATTTGTAATTGCCTCTGTCTATATTAATCGTAGCGTTTCCGAGACCTTGAAGAACCATTTATGGCACCAAATTAATGAGCTTTGCTCTCCTTATGGCATTTCACTTCCTGGACAATGTGGCCACTGTAAAATGAGATGCACTTGCATTAATTTTGCCTCATAAAAGACACTCTGAATTATCAGAAGCCAACAAAAGCTAAATATACACCTAAAGACATAATCACTGACCTCTTAAGCTTTGTCTGAATACACCCATGTCCTGCACTGTCCACGCTACCAAGTGCTCTGGATGCTTCATCCCAATATTTCCCAGCCAAGGATTCATTTGAACCCTGAGGCAGTTCCCCATTAGCCTGAAGTTTTCCTGCTAGACCACATGTTAACCTCTCCCTGTGCCACAACACAGCGGTCTGTGGCAGCTCTTGGACAGACGGGATGGCTGCTGTTGAGTGGTGGGAGACGTGTGGTCTCTCTCAAGGTTGAAGAGAATTTTTTGGGGGTGGTTCCAGCCACCATCACCCATGAGAAAAGGAAGAGGCTGAAACCAGGCATCAAAGCCAA